AGACATGTTCATCTGAGCCAGCAACGGCGGCTTTCAGGGGAGCCCATGCAGACCTGGCACCCACAGGTCACAGGTCCAGGCGGGATGTCCCGATCCCTGAGCCCCATACCTCCAGAGCAACCCCCGCCCAGGACAAGCTCCCCAGGAAGCCCACCTCTTCGCTGACTATAGCCCAAGGGGCTTCAGCTTCCTCTCACCAGAAGACTTGGCTGGTCTGCCTGCCTTTTCTAGTTTTATACAAAGACAGCTACTTTTAGCTACTGCTCATGAGACTTAAGTCTATTTTTGTATGAAAGAAAAAGCATCTTTTTTCTAAACGTGTGCCTCCCCTCCTTGGATGCCCAGGGTCTAGACACTGCCCTGTGTCCTTTCTGCAGTATTACAGATGCCATTGGAAAGTTTGGGCAAGGGGCCAGCCTTGGTCACCTCTCTCATGCTGGGCTCTGGCTGACTGCTCGACCAGGCCCTCCAGGCCCAAGCAAGGGTGGACTCTCTCTTAGGGGGTGTGCAGGGCAGATTAACGCCCCCCAAGTCTATTTTGAGAACTCCAGCTGGCCCCCAGAGCAGCTGCTGGAGCCACTGTCCTGTCCACTATTTCAGGCCCTCAGCTGTTGGGGGCATTAGGGTTCTCTGTGCTACAAGCTCATTATGCAGCAACAGTGCTGGACTTTTATTTCATGTTCTCAATTTCCCCTTTGCTGCTGCTTTTTATGTTGGACTGTTGAGATTTCACTCCATTTCCTCAGTTCTCTTGTGGGTCCTGGGGGTTGTCTTAGAGCCACCACAGGGTAGGCACTCAGGGAGGGTCTGGGGGCCCCCGAGAGTGAGCTCAGAAAAGGCTCCTGGTCCACCCACTCTGGAGGCACAGGCTGTATGGACATCCCAACTGCTGCTTAGTCATTGTGCCTAGTACAGTGTCCTTCAGAGCATTGGGGAGCCATGTATACATGTGTGTGTGCGTGGCGCCAGGGCATGATGGGGTCTGAGGTTTGTACTCCGATTCAGGGCCACCTTCAGTGGGGTGCAGGTAGCTGTGACCCACAACCCCACAGGGAGAGCAGCAGTGCTCACAGACACAGCTATGTGTAAGCTGTGGGGTGTCTCTTGATGGTTTCCCAAAGAGCAGGCCCCTTGTGAACACCTGCACTGTGCCCACCCAGCAGTGTCTTCCATAGGCCCCTGGGTGTCAGAGCACCAAGGACACTCATCCTTCATGTTTCACTAGCTATTGTTGTTTTTCATTTGGGACATAGCGAACAAAGGTCTGAGCAGACCCTGGACCCCAAGTTGTGCAGACAGCTGTGTTCGTGGACAGGCAGACTGGTGACAAGGGATCATTTAAGTAGACCCAGCCCTCTGCCCTGGGAACCTGGTCAAGGGACTTTCACTTGAATTTCTTTTTTGTTTTTTTTTTCCTTCCTTTTAAGGAATTATGAAGCTAAGAAAAGTTTTGTGCTGTGGGAGTTGATGGACGAAAGTTCTAGCTGATTAAATATGGTCTTAACTTATTGATACTGTTTTTTTTCCTTTTAATATTGTACTGTGGAGGAAAACTATTTTGAGCCATGGAGTTGGTGTTTACAAGAACTTTTCACTTTTGCCAAAATGTTACAATTGAAAAGCATCCACGTCTTCAGTTTCCTAATATTTTCTTAAAAATATATAGTATCCTTTTGTACACTAAACAGGTGAATGCTGATTTTTTCAACCTACAATAAATTTCACTGAACTGAATCTAGCAGCCCAGACTTCGTGGGTGTGTTTGTGTGTGTCACAGCCAGGTGGCCCTGGTCCTATGTGGGGCTGGGCTGGGATCAGGCCATGGTGACAGGGCAGAGAAGGCAATCTAGACAGCCTGCCTGAGCCGCTGCCCAGGAATGAGGCCAGCAGGTGGAGCCTGACCTGACTGAGGCAGTGTGCGCTGCAGGTACCAGGGCAGGAGGCCAAGACCGCCTGGTTACAGGTGAGAAACTGGGGAGGCAGGGGCCATGGGGAGCCACAGCGGGTGTATGAGCAGGGCATTGCAACCCCCCCCCCCAACTGCGGTATGGATGGGATGGGCTAAGTCAAGCAGGGGTTTCGTGGCCTCCAGCAGCACCATGTGGGATGAAGGGAGCGCCCTTATTTGGGGAAGCAAATTGTGACTGATGAAAACAGTGGTGAATAATTTTATTGTTGTTCCTCCTAGACTGGCACTCTGGGGCGTCCCGTTTCTCTAGTGAGGAGGGGGATGCTGAGGCCCATTGGAGCCCCACAGGCCCTGGACAACAGCAGGGATGGCCGTCCTTGTTCCATGTTCCAGGTGAGCCAAAGGCAGAAGTCCTTCCCTCCAAGGACATAGTGGGGGATGGCGTTTGTTTTGGGAGGGAAAAACAGATAAAGAGTAAGGCCAGGATTAATGTCCAGGGGTCAGGGATGTGGGCCTCAGCCTCCTTGGTGGCCCCCTGGCCAGCAACCTTGGCCTGAGTTCTGAAGAGGCTTAGGAATCCAAGAGGCGTGGGAGGTTGAGGTCAGGTGGGCCTGGCAGGGCAGAATGTACCCTGCTCTCTACTGGCTTGGCTGCCACATTCTTCCAGGGGATAACATCCCTGTCCCTACACTTCAAGGCTCAGGCTGACACCTGCCTCCTGTCCTGTCTACCCACTCACCTCCCTACTCTGCCATCCTTGCCCACAGCCCCCCACACGGCCTAGTGCCACCCTAGCCAACACTTCTTTAGTGCGCTGCAGCCGCAGGCAGTTGATTCCCTGGCCATCCTTCCTAAGTTAAGGACGCCATGAGTACAGTGCCCCCAGGGGCCTAAAAGGTCTTCCTCCACTACTTAAGACCAACATCATGAGGCCCCAGAGGCTTGATTGATGTTCCCCATACTCTCCTGCCACTTATGGATAACATCTCTGATTGTTTTCCCACCAGCACCTGGATTCCACAGCCCCTCCTGTGCACCGGGCTCTCCCTGTGCCCTGGCATTCAGCAGTAATGAAGACAGCTTTGGCCCTGGCTGGTTTGGCTCAGCAGTTAGAGCATTGGCCTGCGGACCAAAGGGTCTTCAATTCCGGTCAAGGGTACATACCTGGGTTGCAGGTTGGATCCTGGTCCCAGTCAGGGTCATGCAAGAGGCAACCAATCCATGTGTCTCTCTCACCCTCTCTCCCCCTCTCTCCCCCTCCCTTCCCTTCATCTCTTCCATTCTCTCTAAAACACCAATGGAAAAATATCCTCCATTGAGGATTAACAACAACAAAAAGCTCTGCCCTTGCCTGTGGTCTGGTGGAGACAGTGGAGTCTGGGCTTCCCCAGGGCTGCATCTTGGGGCCTTTCTCCTCTCTGCACACATTCCCCTGACATCACTTCTGGCTTTGAGGTACAAGCTCCCTCTATGACCCTCCCAATCTGACTCCAACTGGATGTCCAACAGTTCAGTTTCTGGTGCTGGCATCACACCCCACAGGTTAAGCTGCTTAGTCCCATAAAACTGCCCCTGCCCCCACTTCAGACACCAGCCACAAGCCCCCTGCCACCCATGCTTCTGAACACCTGGCTGTAAATCAGGGTTTCAGATGACCTCTGTAGTTTTGGTAATTTGCTAGAATAGCTTACAGTGTTCAGGAAAATACATCAACAGCCAAAGGGAGGAGATGCAAAGGGGGCAGGGTGTGGAAACTGGCACAGGGCTTTCATGTCCACTTGGTGTGCCACCTTCCCAGCACCTCATGTTTTCACCCATACCCTGTTGTTTAGGGCGTCTTAAGGAGGTTACACTACATAGGTATGACTGAGTAAATCATTGGCCACTGATGATCAAACTCTATCTCTACCCAGGAACCAGGACAAAACCCAAATACTTATACCATATTCTCTGTCCCCAGCCCTGAGGGTCTGCCTCGGTTCCCCACCTCCCCTCCCCAGCTACCTTTTCACCTACCCCTGAACCCACTCCCCCAGGTTTTTGTCTGGGCAACTTTTCATATCTCTTAATAAGAGATGTCTTCAGATCTCAAGGCCCCTTCCAGCAGCCACCTCCTGCAGGCAGCCTGCTCTGACCAGCCCTCCTGAGTTCCCTCCAGGTGGGGGTGCTCCAGTCCACTACCAACGTACCCACACTGGTGGACCCTTGAGAGCAAAGCCTGGGGCCAGTCTTAGAGCCCCACCCCCCCACCCCCTGAAGGCCAGTCCCTGACCATGTTTCCTGTGAATGTTCCCAGCTATTCACCTTTTGGGTCAACTCCAGTGGTGGAAACTTTTCAGCCAGAGGAGGCTGCTTGTTTTGGAAAGTTCCTGGGGGAGCCACCCCCGCCTGCCCGCCAGGTTCCCACGCTCCCTTATCACGGGGTGCTAGTGGGATGCAGTGCTGTGCAAGCCTACCGCCTCCCCAGCCGACTGACTGGGTCCTTCCCATTTCCTTTTCTCTCTTGCCCACCTAACAGCACCCTCCACCAACTGTGCTCTGCCAGGTCCTCCTGCTACAGCTGGGGAAACTGTGACCTTACAGTTTTGGTAATCACGACCCCGGATGTGAGCCCTGTCAGAGGTCAGAGTGGCTACTACTGAGAAAGTAAGGGGAGGTAGCCTGGGTTGGAAGAGTCTGGTTTTGAGGTACAAGTCCTAGCTCAGTCCTCTGCCTCAATTTCCCCTTCAGTATCTCGGACCCAGGGACACCCACCCTCGTAGGCTCAGCCACCCTGCCTTGTGACTGGGGCCTAGTGCTCACTAGCAGCCTAATGCCCTCTTTTGTGAAATGGAGCTAAGAGGCTGTGCGCCCAAACAGACTGGTGCGAAGTGAAGCCACGCACTGCGTGCTTGGGCAGGGGTCTGTGGTCCACGTGGATGCCTGGTAGCGCCCAGTGGGGTGGACGAGTGATAGCTTCTTGAGCTCTGCGCTACAGGGCCTAGAACCCGACTCCAAGGCCAGCATGCCCCTCCCCCACCCCCTACCCTCCACCCCCAGCGCAGGCGGGGCGAGGGCGGGGCCACGGCTCTTTTCTAAAGAGTTCCCAACGGTGTGCTGATCTGTCTGCTGTGCTGTCTGAACTGACTCCACACTGGTGAGTGGGGCCCCCGAGAGGGGTGCGGGTCCGGGTAATCACCGGACTTGCGCTGGTTAGTGGGGTCGGGCAGGTGCTATTAGGTTAGAGCGGTACCCACACGCCAAGATTGTGGCTCTGTCTCAGGGCATATACAAGAGTCAAACAATGCATAAATAAGTGGAACAACAAATCAATGTTTCTCTCTCTCTACCTTAATCTCTCAATAACTTTAAAAAAAATAGTCCACTCGGCTTGGCTTGTTCTGATCCTGCTGACTTCCTGCCAACCCTGTGCCCCAACTCGCTGCGATGGAGGCCACAGTCCAGTTTGTGGTGGAGAGTCCCAATGTGGTCTACAGCCCTGAGGCCATCGAGGCGCAGTACGAGTATCGGACGACAAGCGTCAGCCGCGGGGAAAGCGTCCTCAAGGTGGGCTGGGGGCCAGGAGGCCGGCCTGAGGCTGGGAGATCCAGAGAGCCGGCAAGGGGTGGGATTGCCCAACGTCTGTGGTCCCGGGCTCACTGCACTGCCCGCCCTCAGGTGTACCCCTCGTCCACGAGCTTCACCTTCCGGACCGCCCGGCGGGTGCCCCGGCTTGGGGTCATGCTTGTCGGCTGGGGCGGCAACAACGGCTCCACGCTCACCGCTGCTGTGCTGGCCAATCGGCTGCACCTGTCCTGGCCCACGCGCAGGGGTCGCAAGGTGGGGGGTCGAATGGGATGCTGCGGGGAGCTAGGGTTCTGAGAGGATGAGTCGATGGGGAGGGGTTTCCACTGGGGCGGGGACTCCAAGGATCTACAGAGCCTACCCTAAGGTGCTGGCAGGCATGGGAGAGGGACCTCGGGAGGGGTTTTTGCTTCCACCCAAGCTTGGGGCAAATTGGGCAGGGCCCGCGGGCCCTCCCACACCACACCCACTTTTCCCCTTTCGTCCCTTACCCCCACCCCCACCCTCTGCCCCCAGGAGGCCAACTACTATGGCTCGCTAATGCAGGCGGGGACCGTCAGCCTGGGCCTGGATGCTGAGGGCCAGGAGGTGTTTGTGCCCTTTCGTACTCTGCTACCTATGGTGTCGCCAGACGACCTTGTGTTCGACGGTGGGCGGGGCCCTGGGCCGGGGGTGGAGTGGGAGGCGGGGCCTGGAGGGGCCCAGCTGTCGGACCTGGCTGAGCCTGAGGATTGCTCCCAGGCTGGGACATATCTTCGTTGAACCTGGCTGAGGCGATGCGGCGTGCACAGGTGCTGGATTGGGGCCTGCAGGAACAGCTGTGGCCACACATGGAGGCCTTGCATCCAAGGCCCTCGGTCTACATCCCAGAGTTCATCGCAACTAACCAAAGCGCCCGCGCAGACAACCTTATCCCTGGCACGCGCGCGCAGCAGGTGCAGCACTTGTTCCCCATTTCCCCTGCGCTGTCCCCTTGCCCCTATCCCGAGGGTTCTGGCTCCTCTGCAATTGGGGAGCTGAGTGGCCCAGGCCTCCACAGGTCAGGGGACTGTATTACCTACACCCTACCCCTCTACCCCCACCAGCTAGAGCAGATCCGCAGGGACATTCGCGACTTCCGGTCCTGCGCGGGGCTGGACAAAGTCATTGTGCTCTGGACGGCAAATACAGAGCGCTTCTGTGAACTGGTCCCAGGCCTCAATGACACCGCTGAAAACCTGCTGCGTACCATCGAGGTGGGTGCACTCCAGAGTGGAGCATGGTCAGGGCTAGCCCCTAGGACCTCTCCACTGACTGTCCGCTTGCGCCTGCAGTTAGGTCTGGAGGTGTCACCCTCCACACTCTTCGCAGTGGCCAGCATCTTGGAGGGCTGCGCCTTCCTCAATGGGTCCCCGCAGAACACTCTGGTACCTGGTGCAGTCGAACTCGCGAGGCAACACCGCGTCTTTGTCGGTGGAGATGACTTCAAATCAGGCCAGACCAAGGTTAAGTCTGTGCTCGTTGACTTCCTTATCAGCTCCGGACTGAAGGTGCGTGGGCCCTGGGGGGGTTGGTGGCGTCTTGATCCCAAGCTATGGGCTCTTGCACAGTGGGGTCTACAGCATGTTTGTGGGGCCCCTTGTTCCTGCAGACCATGTCCATCGTGAGCTATAACCACCTGGGCAACAATGACGGGCAGAACCTGTCAGCACCACCGCAGTTCCGCTCCAAGGAGGTGTCCAAGAGCAGCGTGGTAGACGACATGGTGCAGAGCAACCCAGTGCTCTATGCACCTGGAGAGAAGCCCGATCACTGCGTGCGTGGGGCACAGGTGGGGGAAGGGGTCACCCAGCAGAGGGCAACCTGTGTGACCACATGCTGCCCCCCAGGTGGTTATCAAGTATGTGCCATATGTGGGTGACAGCAAACGCGCAATGGATGAGTACACATCAGAGCTGATGCTGGGCGGCACCAACACACTAGTGCTGCACAACACCTGCGAGGTGCGGAGCATGTGGGGGCAGGAGTGGAACCCCCCCCCCCCCCATGCTTGTCCCACCTACCACCTGACCCACTGGCCCCGCAGGACTCGCTCCTTGCTGCACCTATCATGCTGGACCTGGTGCTGCTGACAGAGCTGTGCCAGCGTGTGAGCTTCCGCACTGACTCAGACCCAGAACCCCAGGGCTTCCACCCTGTGCTGTCATTGCTCAGTTTCCTCTTCAAGGCACCGCTGGCTCCACCGGGCAGCCCTGTGGTCAACTCGCTCTTCCGACAGCGCAGCTGCATCGAGAACATCTTCAGGTGTGCCCCATCGCGGGGGTGGGGGGGTCCCACTCTTGGTCCTATGCGAGTTCCAGGCAGGGCTGCACACAGGGCCCTAGGGATTGGAGGCCCTGCTGAATCCCCATCATCCTCCAGGGCCTGCGTGGGGCTTCCACCACAGAACCACATGCTTCTGGAGCACAAGATGGAACGCCCCAGCCTCAAGCAAATTGGGCATGTGGCCGCCTCCTGCCATGTGTCTTGTAAGAAAGAATTGGCGCCAGCAGCCCCCCAACAGCTGTATTGGTGATACCAATGGGCACTCGCAGGCTGTGGCATCCCTGATGCCCACCACCTGAGGCAGTGGCCATACAGCTCCCAGCAACTCCTACCCCCTTTGCCCCTCTGGACCCATCCTTCTAGCACACCCCCATCCCCCAAAAGACAATAAAGGCATTGCCACTATCAGCCATACTTGTGGGTTTTGGGAACTTTTGATCTGACCCTAACCACCCCTCAATTTTTCACCTGGTAAAGACTCCTACCTACCCTTTAAAACTGTTGTCCCGCCCTGGCCGGTTTGGCTCAGCGGTTAGAGCGTCGGCCTGCGGTCCAGAGACCCAGGTTCGGTTCCCGCTAAGGGCGCGTACCTTGGTTGCAGTTTGTCTTCGGCCCTCGTTGGTTGTGTGGGTGGCAGCCACTTGATGTGTCCTTCACATAGATGTTTCTCTCTCTCTTTCCCTCCCACTCTATCTGAACAAAAAATGGAAAAATGTCCTCAGGTGAGGATAAAAAAAAGTTGTCCTAACCCTCAAGGACCTTCTAGAACCCCCAGGACCTCTGCCTAATCCCAGCCCTAAAGGTGGGCACTAAGACCCCAGGGTGGAGGATGTGGCTGCAAGCCAAAGTGAATACATATATATACACTTTTTTAAAATTTTTATTTTATTTTTATCCTCACTCGAGGACATTTTCTCATTTTTTTGTTCAGTTAGAGTGGGAGGGAGAGAGGAACAGAGAGAGAGAGAGAAACATCGATGCGAAAGGAACACATTGAGTGGCTGCCACCCGCACGACTGACCAGGGCCGGGGACAAACTGCAACCGAGGCACGTACCTCCAGCAGGAACCGAACCCGGGTCTCTCAGGACCGCAGGTCGATGCTCTAACCGCTGAGCCAAACCGGCCAGGGCTATACTTTTTTTTTTTAATCCTTACCCGAGGATAGTTTTGATTTTTAAGACAGAGAGAGGGGGAGAAAAACAATGTGGGTGAAGCACATGGGTTAATTGCCTCCTGCATGGCCCCTCCTGGGGCCAGGATCAAACCTGCAACCCAGGCACATTCCTTTGACTAGGAATTGAACCCGAGACCCTTCTGTCCAAGGGCTGACGCTCTAACCACTGAGCAAAAATGGCCAGGGCAAAGTGAAATAATCTTGAAACCAAAAACCAAAACAAATTACATTTATTGATGGGAACCCATCCCTTACTGTCCAGGGGAAAGGAGGTCCCCAAGGAGTCCCCCAGGACAAAACAAATTGGGATGAGGGTGGGGGGCCAAGCCCATACAGAAAGGAGCATATCTGAGGTCCTCGCGTTTTTTTGTTTTTAATAAAATGAGAGTCCTTCGAGCGGGGGGCCTCCCAGCCTCCAAGCCTTGACCTCCAGGAGTCCAGTTGCCCCAGGTGTGACCTCAGACCCTCCCCCTGAAGACCACCCGAGACCCTGGCCCTTGGCCCTGGGCAGGGGCTCTGGGCAGAGGAGGCAGCCTGCAGTGGCGAGGGGCTGTTGCCCCATCACACGCTCATGGTCATCCCAGGCGAGTACTGCGGAGAGATGAGGGGGTGGCGCGCGGGGGTGGGCTCAGCTCCGGCCTAGGCTGGGACCCGCCCCCCAGGGAGAAAGGACGAATGGACTGGGTGGGGCGTATGTGGAAAAGGGGAAGAGGCAGATGTCCAAGTCAGGGAGGTGAGGCCAGCCTGGGTGTGGGTCACAGGGTGGGGGCAGGATACGAGTGTGAGACCAGGGCAGGGGCTGGAAGGGGAAGGATGCCACAGCTGCCCCCCAACCTGGCCCGCCGCGGTCACGGTCTTGCTCTGGACCCCCGGCCGCCCCGCCGGGGCCTGCCCGCCAGGCCCCTCCGGCCCGACGCCGCTGCAGGGGGGGAGTCGACGCAGTCGCTTACGCTTTCGCTCGGGAAGGGGTGCAGGAAAGTCCCGGTGGCCGCCATCTCGCCATCATCCCGCGGGGTGCCCGGGGCGGTGCTCAGGCCGGCCACTGCGCCGGGGGAGCTCTGGGGGCATCCGCAGTCAGAGCGAGACTCCTGGACCCCCACCACCAGACCCCCTGCACGGCCCACCCCATACCGCGCCCACGCCTGAACGCGGCCCCTCACCTTCGGCAACCCGTCCATGTCGCCCGAGCCTGTGGAGGACAGACATGGGGACACACGGCTTAGACTCACCTGTGCCAGGGTCCAGTGACCCCTCCCTGAACTCCCCCTGCGGCCTTACCCAATCCCTCAGCCCAGCCCACTGGGGGTCCCAAAGGAGGGCCTGAAGAGGTAGCCAGGCATCCCCAGTTTAGTTACTGGACCTTCACCCAGTGCAGCCCAAGTCACTGAGTCACCCGAAGGCTCAGGGCATGACCTCCACACCCCTACAGGGAACACAGATGTTGGGGCAGCTGGGGGGGAGGCTGTCAGCAGGAGCATGAGGCTAGCAAGCAGCCTGTGGGAGTTGGATCCCCCATCGCCCACTCACCCAGAGATCCATTCATGTGGTGAGGTTCCAGCGTGCTCATGGCTGGCATAGGGCCCTCTGGGCCTGGGCCCGGGCCCAAAGAGAACTGTGGGCAGAGGAGCAGTGTGGAACTCTGGCCACTGTCCCACCGGAGCAGCCTCTACCCCACAGCTCCCCACTTACATTAGCCCTGCCAGTGCCCGGCCCAATGGGGTTCATGATGGTGTACATGTTCTCGCTGGAGTTGGTGGAGTCTGGGGAAGACATGCATGAAGGCCTGGATGTGGGGGGCCTCCCCCAAACATACCCCTCCCCTCACCACCCAGGCCCTAGTACCTCCAGGGCTGGGCATGATGGGTGTTCCAGGGGGCCCACCACCTCCTGGGGGTCCCTGCACATGGAGATAAACAAAACATGAGAAAAGCCCCCACCTGCCACACTGCTCCCCCATCCGCATCAGGTCACCCAGTATTGGCCCCACAACCCCACTCACCGTGTAGCTGCCAGGGGAGGAGGCAGAATAGGGGATCTAGGGAGAGGGGCAGCTGTGAGCAGTCAGCCAACTGTACCCCCCTCACCCCTAACCCAACCTCGCCCCCACTCCCTGACTCACCAAATTGCCACTGGGGCTGGCCCATGGGCCACGCACTCCGGGGCCCCTTTTAAGAGATAGTAGGTGGAACCTGGGGCTGGGCCAGGCAGCATGCCCTCTTACCCTGCCCCATGGGTCCCCTGAACGGCAGATGTTGGCTAAGTGATAACCACTTGAAAATCCCAACCCATCACTCACTGGCCTTTGGGCCTTCGTTTCCCCACCCAACAGTAGTATAAATATCCCGGCTCTTGTGCTAATCCAGCCCAAGAGGCTGGGTGTAGTCCCCATGGGCATACTCCAAGGGTCCCTTAGGGCCTTACATGTTCATTGTGGGTAGGCCTGGGCCAGCGAGGGAGTTGGGTGGGGGCCGCATGCCACCTCCGTAGGTCTGTGAGGGGGAAAGAGCCCTGAGTGCAGGCCAAAAGGGAAGAGTTCCTAAAGCCCCCTGGGTCCACCCCTTACCTGGGGCCCAACACTGGCCATGCCCCGTGGAGGAGTCACCCTCTGCATCGAGCCCATACTCAAATGGCCTGGTGTGGAAGCAAAGGGAGGTGGCTCAGGTTGGGACCACTCCCCAATGTGGACAAGATCCTGGGGGAGGGGGAGAGGTTGTACAGTGAGGCAGCAGGGATGGGGCACTTAAAGCTGGGGTCCTGATGGGTGGTGGAGAACACCAGCTGGAGCTTCTCTACTCACCCTGAGCACGAGGGGAGGGATCCATGGCACCAGGGAGGAGGGGCTGAGAGCCAGGGAGGCCCACAGGAGGCTGCAGAGGGGGCATGGCAGCAATGAGTGTGGATGCCCCGACCCCAGCCCGGGCTCCTGCCCCACCTCCAGTCGGTCTTACCTCTCTCACCTGACTTGGCATTCGCAGGGTGGGCCGGGGGCCCCCTGGGAACCTTGGTGACATGAAGGGCTGGAAGAGGTGAACCAGGTTTCAGCATATCCCCCTACCCACTCAGTCCCCCAAAGTTATCTGGTTCCTACAGCACCCAGGCCCAGAGCCTGGCTTGCCCCCTCCTCCAGGCCTAGCCAGCAAACATCAGTGGCCAGCTCTCAGTGTGTGTGAGAGCAGAGAAGCAGGTTGTGCATAGGCAAAGAGACAGGGGTGCCCTGGCCGGTTTGGCTCAGCGGTTAGAGCGTCGGCCTGCGGTCCAGAGAGACCCGGGTGCAGTTCCCGCTAAGGGCATGTACCTCGGTTGCAGTTTGTCCCTGGCCCTGGTTGGGTCGTGTGGGTGGCAACCACTCGATGTGTCCCTTTCACGTCGATGTTTCTCTCTCTCTCTCTCTCTCTTCCTCTCTCCCTCCCGCTCTGTCTGAACAAAAAAAAATGGAAAAGTGTCCTCGGGTGAGGAAATAAATAAATAAATAAATAAATAAATAAATAAATAAATAAAAAAAAACAAAGAGGCAGGGGTGTCACAGGTCCTTACCTGAATGTGCGGCCCCATCATGGGAGTGTTGGGGTTGTGTGAGGGCGGCTGGGAGCCGAGAGGGCCCTAGAAGGACAGAACCAAGTGGATTGGGAAGAGCTAGGTCACCAGAAGCTCGTTTCCTGAGGCCCTGCAAAGTCTGGCTAGGGGAAGGGAAGTGGAAGGGATGCCATAAAGGCAGGAGGGCGGGCCACTCACCCATCTGCAGGACTGGGGGTGCCCCCTACAGGAGGGGTCATGAGCAGGATCTGTGGCTTAGAGAGCCATGCTCTGCAGCCCAGGCACCCTGGTATGTACACACACAGGTCTAGTGTGCAGAGATCCCACCCTCTCCTACACTGGGGCCCAGACCCTACAACCCCCACTTTACTATCCCCACCACATCAACAATCCTCCCACCCAACTCCAGCCTGACCCCTTCAGGGCTTCTCCCGACGTGGGACCCCCACCCATTAGCACCTGTGCCTGTCATTCTCTGACATGTGTACCCAGGGTCTAGGGGACAAGGGTCTCAGCCCTGGCTATACCTGGAAGAAGCCAGGTGCCATGGGGCCTGCTGCCATTGCATCGGTGGGGGCTATGCTCCCCATCACAGGGCTGGGGGCAGCTGCAGCACTCTGCAGGGTAGGGGAGACACAAGGGTCCAGTCAGGCCAGTTCTGCCCCAGTGTTTCCTCGGCAAGCAGCCAGTCCCACAGAACAGGGAACCCAAGCCATCTGACCCTCTGTCCACGCATGGGAGGATGCCTGGAGGGTCCTCTAGGTGACAGAGCAGCTGTCCCTGTTCCCACTTGTTTAACAACCTTGACAAGTCCACAGATTCGGATTTGCTGGGTGGCCTCGAAGGGGCTCTGCCTCCTTGCTGCACCTGAGAACCTGGAGGTGGTCAGGGTCTAGCCTGGCTGAGTCCATAGCCCATGAAGGACAGGGATCCAGAGATTCCCAATCCCAAGTCCTGAACCTGAGGATTGTGGAGGTCTGAAAATGTCAACCACCCAGTACTGGCATGGCTGATTCTTTCTATCTGAAACCAACCTCCATCCAGTAGGAGCACCATCCCCTACCCCAGGCCCTTCCCAACACACCCAGTGTTCTCCTGGCTGGTGAGGCAGCTTAGCTGGACACCTAGCTCTATCCATTACACCCAAAATAAACAGACAAAAGATCAAACAACATTCAAGATGATCGTCCCTCCCCAGGGCTCCTTCTAAGCTGCTGTGCAGACCACTCCCCCTGCCCCTACAGGAAGGAAGGGAGGAAGAGCTGGACGCCCTGGATGCCCTCTCCAGGCCCCCAACCTCTCTTCAGGTGTAGGAAGAGAGACCAGGTGTTAGAAGGGCATTATCTTGTGGGCCAAGGGCAGAGATGCAAGGAGCAGGCTGACAAGTCACTTCCTTTGGTCAGTTCCAAGTCCCCAGGCTTGTCAGCTTTTGGGGCCCACAGAGCAGGGGCAGGGAGAAGGGATGGAGGGTTTATCTACAGGGAGGAGGGGATACATCAAAGGATAGGGAAGGGCACTGAGTAGAGAGTACTTTTCTGAGTACCCCTCCACTCCTGTCTGTCTGCATCACCCACCCTCCACCCTCCACCCTCCCCTATCAGGTCCCAGGAGGAAGGGGATAGTCTGTCTTCATCACTGCTATTCCTGAGGTTGGTGCAAGTCAGCCCCTGGGGTGCTCAGGAATTTGTGGAACTGCAGCCACTTGGGCTCAAAGGAATTAAGCACTAGCTGTCACACACTTCCTGCCCTACAGGAGTGGGGCAAGAGGCTCCTGAAGACATGCTCCTCCCTAAGTGCAACTGCAGCCTGGCACCCTTCCTGCTCCTTCTCAAAGGTCTGCCTTCAAAGGACTCATGCCCGGACCCCAACTAGGCATACTGGTGGGAGCCTCCCCAGGCCTACAATGGCTTAGAGCATTCACAGGGCCCAGCACAATTCATCTGAAAGCCCAAGCGACCCTAGAGTCAGGGGGACAAAGCTCTCAGCCCCCGCAAACCTCACTCCCACACAAACAGCCCAATGGCCTATAGTGGCTACTCTGGTAGGTGCCTGCTTCAGTGTGTGTGGGGGGCACATTCCAAGCCCTGGGTCTGTCCACCTCACACTGCCTACCCCACAGGAAGGGAAGCAGCCCCCCTTCATAGCCACAGCAGGTACCACAGCACTTCCTGCTTAGGGAGGGGATGGCAGTGGTGGTGAAGGCTGCAAGGAAAGCTCAGGACCACAAGATGGAGGAGGATGGGTTACCTCTCACCCCTGTGGCTCCCCAAATCTAGGCCCTGGACCCCCACGTCAATCATCCACCCAAAGGCACCCCGCCAGTGTTGCCATGATAACATGCTAGGCATGCTGACATTTCTTGGGGATGCCCAAGTGGTCCAGAGGGGAGGACTGGAGGAGGGCTGGAGCCCTGGGAGGGCCAGCAAGGTGACCCCAACTAGAATCAGGGGAGGCTGCAGGGACCTGTCACTCCATGTGCCATGAACACTGTGCCTGCACCAGCTCCCCCAGGCACTCTGCTGCCGTGGTAACTGGTTTGCACAAGGAACCACACTCACACCACGCCAACATGGAGCCCTAGTGCCTCACCCTCCCTTCCAGGAAGCACCAGAAGCTGTCAGATCCAGGTGGGGGCCTGGGCACTGCAGGGCCTCTAGGGGAATGGCCCCAGGGACACCAGAGAGGCACAAGGGTGAACCCCTGCCCCTGCTGCACCCTGGCCCTGCAGAAGCCTGAGTTCAGGTGCCATTGCAAAGTGAGAGCTGCACCTTGGGAGGCCTGAGGGGAGGAGGTAAGGGCACCAGCTGGAGGAGAATAGGTACACAGGGAGAAGGGGGTGGAAAGGAGGAAATCACCTAGAGCTATACCTCCCCCAGAAGCTGGCTGAGTCGCTGCCCAGCCCTTAAGCCCACAGCCTAGGTCCCAAGCCCTCTTTTGTCTGCCCTCGACCTCTCAGAGGGGCCAGGGTGAAGAGGATAAAGGTGGGGGGCTGCCACCCGCATCTCATGACAGGATGCTACCCATCTCCTCATGTCACCACCCTGAGGCTCCTCTCCAAACAGGCCTCTGGTGCTACCCCTTCCCACATCAACCAAGAGGGAAACTGAGGCCAAAGCAGTGAGTCAGCAGCCCCAGTCATAGAACAAGGTCAGGAAGTATCCTAGGTGCTGTCAGCTAAACCCCCAAAACCCTGGCTGGACTCCTATCTCAGGAGGCTCAGAAGGGCTAGGGTGGCAGGGGACAGGTGGTGGTGGAGGCAGGAACTACAGTCTGTCTAGCTTAGACCAGGGGCTCAAGTGAAGGGGAAGAGGCGTGGGGAATGAGCCTCCCTCTGAGTGACCTGGGGCCCAGTGGAAGGCACAGGGACCCAGGCACCCAGCCCTCCTAAGCCAAGCATAAGCCATGCAATCTCCCATCCCGCCCCAGGCCCCAGGCCCGCCACCTTGCCCATGCCAGGTCCCTGGGGCAGGACTCACATAGTCCTGGAAGGCCTTGGCCTCACTTGAGTGCTCGCATGCCTCTCTGCGGTCAGGCGCTGCACAGTACAAGTCCCAGAACACACTGTGGGCAGCAGGGGGTGATGATGGTTTCCCCACGTGCCCCCACCCACCCAGCACCCTCCACAGCCTGCCCACGCCAGCCCCACACGCACCACCACCAGGAGTGCAGGAAGCCCGGGGGCTCCCCCAGCGTGATGTTCTTCTCCCATCGGATCTGCACAGGAGAAGGAAGGCAGGTGAGGAGCCGCTGCCCAGTCTGCTGGATGCCCTAACCCAGGCAGGGAACATGGGGCAGGAACCAGCAGACCAGAGCAAGGTAGCCGGGAGGGGACAACTGGGTAAGACAAGGGCAGAGGATGAACAGCAGATCCTCAGAGGAACAGACAGACACCTCTATGCCAGCCATGGGTCCTGACCCACCCCAGCCTTCAGTTCCTAGGGCCTTCAGAGGGGCCATCTGGTACCACCACTGGATCCTGGGAGACAGAAACTGGGAGGAGAGGACCCTGGGGTATGGGTAGAGAGGCCAGGCCAGCTTACCTCAGACAGAAAGGTCTGGGCTGACTTCTGGGCACCGATGTGCAGCAGGTACTCGTACACATACAGCGCCAACCTGCAGGTGGGGTGGAAGTGGCTCAGGTTCCCAGGAGACCTGTGGTCGGGTCAGCCTCAACCCCCCAAAGATCTCTGGGAGGGGCTCTAAGGCCAGGCACCTGCCTTCAGTTGGGCAGGTAGAGAAGAGGGGCAGGGGGTGCACAATGAGCCCTCATCACATATACCCCCAGCCTCACACACTGCCACCTCGCTGGTTCCCAAACCCCTCATCTCCACCACCCCTCACAAGAGATGGCCTCCTCCCTAGCTGCTCAGCCTAGACAACTCCTACACATCTATCAACACCCAGCCTGCAGGACCCTCCTCTAGGCAATACTGCTACAGTCCCCAACCCCACATTTCCAGGTCAAATTCTGGTCAGTTCAACACCCCCTTGTGGACCAAGTCCTAGCACCATTCTGCTGATGCCAAGACTCTAGAGCAGCCTTGGCCCCAGGGAGGTCATCTGCCTGGAGAAAGGGCTCCTAGGTGTCACTCCTGACTAAGACCTACATGAGGCCCTGGCCGGTTTTGCTCAGTGGTTAGAGCGTTGGCCCACAAACCAGAGAGGCCTGGGTTCGGTTCCTGCTAAGGACACATACCTCGGTTGCAGTTTGGGGTCATGTGGGTGGCAGCCACTCCACGTGTCTCTCTCTCACGTCGATGCTTCTCTCTCCCTTCCTCCCTCTCGATGCTTCTCTCTCTCCCTTCCTCCCTCTCTCCCTCCCGCTCTATCTCAAGATAAACACAAAAATGTCCGCTGGTGAGGATTAAAAAAAAAAAAGAACTACATGGGGTCTCTCAGCAGGCACCCTAGGCCATGCACCTAGCACCAGCATCTTACTCCCAGCCTTGCCTGAGGCCATCCTCCTACAAGTGTCCCCGGGCCCCATCCTCTTCCTGGAGATCATGACTGCCAACCAGCCCCCAGGGAGTCTAGGGCAGTGTGGGTGGCTGAGGGGAGATAGGGCCAGCATTTCCACTTGGCTGCCAAACACCCACAGTGCTTGATATGCCCCCCATACAAACTCAGCAGCTGCCCATCCCAAGAGCATGGGCCACTTGCCAACCAGCAGCCCCCTCTGCAGGCCACACAGGAAGGCCTGCCCATCCATTGAGCCTCCCAGACCTCTCCATCCTCTGCTTCCGCCTCTGCTCCCCCCCCACACAATCTATCTTCCACACAAGCCAACAAAGTGACAAGATCCACACCCCTGGCCACTCTGAAGCCATTGTTCCACTGACACGGGCCCCTATGGATGCCCCAAGATCCTCCTACTGCCCAGTGTAGACTCAAGTTGGCTGGGGGATGGAGACAGGAGACAGTCTGGATCCAAGACTGGAGGCTCCTCAAGGGCAGGCCTGAAGCTATGCCTCTGGCTTAGCTAGACTCTCCCCTAGCTGACAACCCCATCTGAAAATAAACTTGCTTTGACTCATTATCCTCTCCTGCCTTTTCCAGCCAGGGTCCTCAATCCTTACATCCCAGCCCCTGCCCCCCACACCCATCAGACACCCCTGCCAGCTCCAGCCTTCTGTCCTGCCCCCACTCCCAGCCCCACAGGTCTGCCCTTAACCTTGGATCCCCTCCCTCACTCCCTCCCTTCAACAAGCATTCACCCAGCGCCTCCTTGTGTAGTGAATATGACAGACCCCCATCCCGTTGGAGGCTACCTGCTTGCTTGTGAGAAGGAACAGTGGAGCAACAGTACAAGAAGACAAGTTATATGGTGAGTAGGAAGGCAGTGTGTACTACACAAGAACAAGAGTGGAACGTTGAGAATTCTGGGTGGCCCAGGGTGAGGTGTGTCCACAGCTCACACTGCACCATGTAACCTGTGGTGGCCACCTATGGGACAGGGATGGGGCACAGAGGAATAGGACTCATGGTGGCCACACAACTCCGAGCATGTTGTGTCCCCCTAGACTAGCCACAGTCCACACCACATCATCACACCCCTCTTGGCAGTGCCTCCAGCCCAGGAGCCCCCAACAGTTTCCAACATCTGCTCCTCTCTAGCCCAGTCGCCTTCCTGGCCCCCTGGACTCAAGGCTCACCTGTCCAACTCCCTCCTATGCTACTTCCCCTTCTAGAGGCTTCCTGAGCCTTCTCCAGTAGCCTGCATCCCCAGACCCATGTCCACTGGTGAAAGAATAGACATGAAAAGCCCAGACCTGCTCACCGCCCCACTCTCCAGGCAAAGAGAGAAGCTGAGGGTTCCAGCCGCCCCCTGCCCACTCTGGAGGTCAGTGCAGACAACAGGAAAGACTGGGGGAATGAGACAACAGAGACAGGTAGCAAGATGGAGTTGGGGGTTCAGGGTGGGGGGAGAGCATGGGTTACACTCTGGCCACACAATCCCAGGGGCAGAGGCTCTTCTCAGGGCTCCCTAAACCTCCTGAAGAAGTGGTCCTTGGTCCCACAACTTCCATCAAGGGCTCTACGCTGCCAGCCCACCAGGTCCTTCTCCATCTCCCCTGGCCCTGGACTGTCCAGTGGCAGCATCTAACCCAAGATACAAGTCTAGGAACCCACTCCTGTCTGCTCTCTTCCCCATCAGCCTAGACCTCTCCTTTCCTCTCTCTAGGTGACCTCCCTCCTGCTCTAATGACATCTTCACACAACTACACAGAGGGTGCTCCAGCCTGGCCTTTGCAAACTTGGGGTCCATTGTCCACCTGGCATCTAAAGGCCCAATCTCAGCCCTGGCCGGTTTGGCTCAGTGGTTAGAGCGTCAGCCCGCGGACCAGAAAGACCCAGGTTCAGTTCCTGCTAAGGGCACGTACCTCAGTTACAGTTTGTCCCTGGCCCCGGTTGGGGTTGTGTGGATGGCGACCAGTCAATGTCTCGCTCTCTCCCTCCTGCTCTGTCTGAAGATAAATGCAAAACTGTCCTCGGGTGAGGATTAAAAAAAGCCCAACCTCAACTTGCCCCCACTACAGCTTCCCCTCACCACCACCCCTTGCCTTCCACCCCACCTGGTGGTCCAACCTGGTTGGTCCAGCCTTGACTCATAGAGGTGTGGTACAAACTGTCCCCCATGATCAAGATCGTTGCACTTATTAAATTTAGGGTAAAATATTAAGGAGAAAACGTTCTCCTAACATCTCTATCACACACCTGGTCCAGGCCACCATCTCTTACCTGAATTTTGAATTTGGATGGGACTCCTCCCAGCCCCTAGAGTCTACACACACACATACATGCCCAACAGCATTCCTCACTAGACTCTCCAGTGCCCTCAACACACACACTGGCCACCCTCCATTCCAGGGCCTTTGCACAGGCTGTTCCCCCACCTGGAGCACTTCCATCTAGAGACCTACATGGCTCCAATGTCACCTGTTAGAGGCTTCCCTATTACACCTTACCCCCACCCTGCCCGATTTCTCCCTATCATCTTATTTACCCTGCTTGACACATGTCTCTGCTCACTGCCTATAACCTCCACTGAAATGTAGCTGGGAGGGCAGGGACTTGGTTTCTTTCCCTCCCTGCTGAGCTCACAAGAGCATCCTGGAACCCCAGTCACCTGGACACCCTCCTGAAATGTCAGGAGAACTAGCTAAGGTGGTTGGTGAGCACTGTTTCAACGTTAAAGATTTGGGATTTTATCCCAAGAGCAAAGAAAAGCCAGAGAAAGTTCTCAGTTTTGCTGACTTCTCTTATGTGTTGGTAGATTTTTTTTAACCAGGATTGAGTCTCAGGGAGGAATTCTGGATTTTTCTTGTTTTGGGTGAAAAGTTTTGAAGCTGGGATATTTGGCCAGGTTGTTTCGTGACCTCCAGGGAGGACATCCCACCTCTGACCATCCACCCTCTGAGCTTGGTTACAAGGAAGGGCAGGGCTCTGGAGCCAAATGCCAGAGAAACAAATAACTTGCAGAACAAAGAGCCACCCAATGGAGGGGCTCCTGCTGCAAAAAGGCAGCTGGCTGGCAGGGAGCATGGGGTGTCTCCAGAGAGGCCCTCCCTTGAGAAGGAACAGTGACACAGAAGATAAGGGGTGGCCAGCCCTCGGGTGCTCCCAGGGAGAAGCGCACATGGGCTGTGCAGGGAAGCGGTCACATAATAGTTTGTTAAAGCCTTGTGAACTAAAATGCAACACTATCACCATAATCATCAAGAATTATCATAATTATCAGGAATTATAATAATGAGTGCTCCCTGCCCAGTGCCCCTATCCCCTTGAAGCCTATGGATACACATGCTGGGGGCAGGGAGAGGCCATATACTCACAGCCTTGTGTCACTCCCCCACTCCATCTAATCCACCAGCCAGTTCCCACTGATGTCCCCTAAAGAGACTCTCCAGCCCACACATTTCTTCCCACTCTGTCACCCTCAAGGTCAGGCCTTCAGCTCTTTCTTGCCAAGGTGGCGGCCACCCTCCTCACCAGCCTCCTGGCGGCCTCTGCTGCTTACAGCTTTTCTTCCACCCAGCAGCCAGTGACAACCCCTCCCCCCCAAATTCCATCCCTGTCCCCTCCTCCCATTCTCTCCCCAAATGCCTCCTCTTCTCAAGCCCTTCCCCTTAGGTTTCCCTGTGTCCACTGGCTCTGCTCAGCCTCAAGGACTCAGCTCAGGGGTTCCTTCCTCAAGAATCTCTTACCCGATCCCTCACTAACAAGGATCTCACAGCCATATCTGGAAGCAGGGACAGACATACAGGTGACTCTCTCACTTGATGGGCTATAAAAAAATTCTGTGGCTATGTGCCATCTCAAAACCAATCCTAGGAGAAAAACACGAGATGCTCAGTAACACCAACTATGGTTGTCATTTATGGACCTATTAGAAACCCACTTGGCAGCACATAAAGTGCTTGAGGATATACATACACACAGCAGATGTTTAGACCTCTCTCCCAATTCACAAAGGCAGAGCTTCTGAGGCAGAAGCAGTAATGCAAAGGGGACAAAGCTGCTTCCATCCCTAAGTCACAGAGACCCAAGTCCTGGCCTATGTGGTTGAGTTAGTTGAGGGTTGTCCCATGCACCAAAAGGTCACTGGTTCGATT